CTCTTTTCAGTCTACAGTCAACATTAGCATAGTAACGATATAACCAGTCCATTCCCAATATCACCTCGAATTCGTCAAAAGGTAATTCCATCAGATTAGCAGGGAATTCAATTCTCTGAATCTGTATGGGACACCCTCGACACACCATATTGACTCGAGCACTGTGTCCTAACGTATTAGTCACTATTACCTCAGTGCTAGTATATTCTAACGGAATATTCAATTCTTTCACTAACTTACTACAAATATAAGAATATATAGACCTCGAATCAATCAATACAAACACATTATTATCATATAACTGAAAGATACCTGCTATTATCTCTGGGTCATCTCTATCCTTGCTAGTCTTGAGATTATACACACGAGTTGTAGAACGTATCTCTTGTGGAGTTGATGACTCTGATTGACTTATTCCTCTTCCTCTACATCTTCCTCTATGGGTAACCGAGGCAGACCTCTCTGGTTGAGCAGATTCACCAGCTAACATGGGATAATCTCGAACAAAATGTCCAGTGTCCCCATATTTAAAACAGGCTCCAGAAATAATCCTACATATCCCTGAATGGTTCCTTCCACAATGTGGACATTGTCTGACTTGGCTCGGGTTAGATCTCCCAGCTCCAGATCCCACTGACTGTGTCTATCGACCCCTCATCTAATTTGATCCCCTAGCAGAAGATGTAATTGACTCTGATCTCGCTTAGGGTCAAGAACTCACATCTCTGCCCCTTTTTATGGTGCAACACTCGATGATGCACCCGATCTTTTCGAAGTCTGAACTTGGGAATCTCCGAACCTCTCATTTTGAGCTCTTTCCAGAGCTTTAGCACGGTTCACCACTTCCTGAAACGAGGATAGATTTAACACAATTAACATTTCCTTCAGCCTTGGACGTAAACCTTCTACGAACCAATCATAAACATCCTTTTCTGTAGGAATAAGCTCGACAGCAAAGCGACTCAACTTGTTGAATTCACACTCGTATTCATAAACTGTACGATTTCATTACTTCATATTCATGAACTCTAGTTTCATATGTCGAATAAACTGATCTTCGATATATTTATGCTTAAACTCTTCTAAGAACAAAGATCAAGTTACTTGATCACCGACATTTTCAATGTAACGTTGGTCCACTAAATCCTTGCTTACCCTCGGAGTAAAGAGACTATTCCATCCAGCTTCTCTGGATCGGAACAATGAAGTCCCTCAAGCATGATTTTTACGTCATTAAGCCAAAGGTCCGCAACAATTGGACCTTTTTCGGCTTCACCTCTAAACTCTGGTGCTCCTAAACCCTCCAACTCCTTTGCCAACATTTATTCCTCCTAAACCCTCAGTGCAGGTGAATTACTGCTTTAAGCGGGCCTATCGTCTCCCGCTTCACTTCTAGAGCTACCATGTCTGGACATCTATAAAAATATTTCCACATCGTTCTATCAGCAAAACAACATACTTACTATTATATCATATCAGAAGTTTTCGCTATTTTGTTGACATGTATACCTTATGGGACACTCTAGACTTCGGTTTATGTCGAGAATCGACTAAACCGTAGCTCTGATACCATTAAATATAACACCCCCAACCCGTACCCGATCCAGATACGAGTCTGAAGTATCACATTGACTTTTCAAACTTTGACACTTAAAGAAAAATAAGGAAATTTTAAACTTTCATTAAAACAAAATACGTTAATTTACATAAAAGAGACAACAAAATACAAAATTGATCAGAGCATTCGTAATTAATAACTTATTACATGCCAACACTCTATACACAACCAAAATACCTACTTTGTCAATTATTTCTGATCTGATCTTTTAGTAGTGATGTTGTCCTTGCCACTTCTATTATTGCTCTTCTTACTTCTTGGTACCTACGTGTAAATCACTTACACGTTAAGTCATAAACTTAATGAGGCATAATATAAATATATAGATATAACAATGCAATCATGAACATGCATTCTTACCATATGATCATGACCTCTTAATTTGCATGCATCTGTTACACTATAACATATATGATGGTGACATGCACATATAAAACATATATTTTTATGCTAATTCCACTTTAATTTATCTTTGGATTGCCCATGTACATTATTGAGAACATAAGGTACGCGATTATGCTGAGGTTGTGCATAATGTTGTCACCACAGCTCAAATAAAATCCCACTAGGGGCACTGAATATTTGTCCTAAAGGACCACTATGTCCCGAAAGACCACTATGTCCCGAAGGACTACTATGTCCCGAAGGACCACTGATAATCCCTTGACTCTTGGCATGCCAATTATACCTACAGCTCTCATATTAAATAACATGAGCTTAATTATAAATACATTTCTCATTTCATATCTTTTTCATCATTTTCCATGTAAACACATAAGTCACTTCATATGATCATTTCCATTATTTCACATACCTGGAAGGATTCTCTGATAATGGCATTCATTCATATAATATCATGTTAAATCATGAATGAAAATGCATGGAATCACTATAATGTTAACACATATATATATGTATGCATATGCGTGAATATGGAATCATAAATTCACTGCTAAGAGATAGACTTATCACAAGTCTTATCTCAATTCTATTTCATCTAGGATATACACTCACCTTGGCCTTGCTTGTTTTGACTTGATCCTAATCCTTCGTTTGTTCCGGAACGAAATTACGTTCTATATCTACATAGTAATATATTGATACTAATCAGTATAATAATTAATATATTCTAAACTATCACTCCTTAAGCTAAAAATAAAGTTATTTTCATCTCTTAATGAAGGTATGCATCGATGCACTACACCATGTATCGATGCATCCCTTGACGGGTGCATCGATGCACTATCTATGCATCGGTACATAAATCCCATTCGATGTTTGTATTTTAAGGGGGTGCATTGATGCACTACTTGTGCATCGATACACTGATGGCATTCGATGTTTTTATTTTAAAGGAGTGCATCGATACACTTCATGTGCATCGATACACTTTGAACAATTTCTGGGATTTTACCCTTGATGCATCGGTACATGATGCACATAGCCCAGAAATGTTATTTTAGCACGAAAATATCTTCATAATCTTCTCAACACTTTATATTTCCCCTATTTTTATATCCTTAACTTGTATACACCTACTTAAACTAATTAATACCCATTCAATACCTCTTAAACTTAAAAATCCAATCCTCCACATAGATTTCAAGAATCTCCCTCAATTTCCAACATGTTCTAAATCTAATTCTAACACTTTGTATGTCTTAATTATGTCGATGACAAGTCAAATTCAACCTCCGATTCCAAATATGAACTCTATTTCAATATTTCATTCAAGAACTCCTAATCTTTAATTCTTCCTATACCCTTCATCTTGTTGTTTTAAAGTAAATTAAGCTTTCCTTAAGCTTAATTATCATCTAAGGATCAAAACCAAACTTAAATTTCAACTAACAATCAGCTTATGAGAAATCTCACCTTTGCAATGAGTCTTCACGTTGGGAGAAAAGAAGAGAAGAAGATAACTCTGGAAGCTTATGTATTTCTCTCTTCACTCCACGTGGAAACATATATAACCATAATAATTAAATTATTTCCCTTATCAATGACTATTTTGTCCTTCTATTCCTCCTTCTTTCCAATTTGATCCTACACCACATTTTTCATATAAGTCCTTAATTGTTCAATTATTATACTTTAATCACCAAATTCTGAAACTTTACAATTTAGTCATTAACCCGGTATTGAGAATGTTACAGCTTAAGGTAGAACCACTCTAATTTTTTCAAGGCAAAATTAGAATCTCTCTCTTTTATAAGGTTTGATTTGTGTAAATAAAAGATACATCTCTTAATAAGTGTTTACATATTTAAGTTCACAAAGAATAAAATGAAAAGATATACAACAAAACTATATACAATATGTATAAAAGAATAATAAAAGAATAAATATTGAACCTCTTTTCTCTTGATCTTTAAGCTTGGATAAATATAATAACATCCTATAAATATTCTTAGATTATTTACATAGTAAGGAATGAATTTCTAGCTGTTTATGGTCATTAATATAAATGAGTTATAACTGTTAGGGATGCAAAACAACTATTACCTATAAAGAAAAATAGCTTTTAGAACACAAGAGATTGATCTTTTTCTAAAAGGGATCGATCATTTTTCAAATATTTGACATGTTGTTAGCAAAAATATACATCCCTTTTACAAAGAGGTTAATCATTTTTGACAATGGATCCATCCCTTTTTGTAAAGGGATCGATCATTTTCTACAAGATATCAATCCTTTTGAAAATTGGATTGATCGACTAGTTATTGGAATTAACGGGATCAATCATTTTGCTAAGGGGTCGATCATTTCAGACAAAATTCTTAAGAAACATAAATTTTAAACGCAAAAACAATTGAGTAAATATTTGAAAGTAATAGACTAAATTAGAAATATTTAAAATATATTTTTTAAATTAATTTTAATTTTTTGTTACTTTTGAAAAAATTTAACACATTTAATTAAATTTATTTTTTTATATTTTTATATTAAAATTCAAACTTCAATATAATAATTTGGACATTGAATGCTCATATACCTCTACATATGTGATGCTCAAACTCAAAACTTCAAAAGATAATAACAATCCTTTAAGCACTGATGTCGTCTGATTCCAACATTTGATTGTAACCTAATTTTAAACATGATCCACCTATAATTAATTAAGGTTTTAAGACGTAGAGTTTGGTTTTATGAATTCTTAATGAAAGGAGAGAAAAACATGAAAGGAGAGAAAAACCTAAGCGTTTCTGAAAGAACCCAAAACCCACCAATTTTTATGAAAAATGGGCCAGCCCAAGAATATGAAACATGAAGCCCAAATTACGGGGTTATTTTCGTCATTTAATGTGAACCTAGGGTGAAACTTGCAAATTCAACTTTCTCTAAAAACCGCCTCCAATCGTAAAGATAATTCGACACAAATTTTCTGGTCCCGTCGCTTCCTTCTAAAACCCACCTCAAAACCTAGCTGGATCCTTGTTCTCTTTTATTTTTTCACAATTTTCTTCAAAAAAACACCCATCGTCCTCAGCCCCTCTCATCTTCACTCTTCATCTCATGTAAGTCTCTAGATTCAATCACAGTTTCCTGCTTTAGGGTTTTTATCTCATCATATTCTATATAAGCTTTTATCTTTCTTTCTGCTTTGAGTTTTTTTAACTCTTATTCATTGATGGATTCTCTTTGTTTTGCAATGTTTTAGATTTGTAATGCTATCTAGTGAGTGTCAAGTGTGCATTTTTTAGGTTTTCTTTTCCTCTGTGATTTGATTTTATGAAGGTTTCTCACTAGTGAGCACTTTTTGCTATATAGTTTACTATATGCGTTTTTTGGGATTTTATTTACTTTCTTTTATTGGGTTCAGTAATTTTCTATTTATTTGTGTAGAATCATGACTAATCAATTGAATGTTTGAGTATTGTTATTTAAGATTGGCACAATTTGTCTAATATTTGATATTATCAATTCTTATTATAAAGAATCAGTCAGATGTACACAAATATTTGCATTGGAATGGTTTTCACGTATTCATTCTTTCCCCTTTAGTGCAGAAAAACGCTTATGGCTGAAGTGGATCAAAGCTTTGTTGAACATGAAGAGGAACAGGTGCAAGAACCTCAGAACTTGGAGCAGAACCCAAGCATGGAGCCCAACATGAACTTGGAGAACTATGTGGAGTTGGAACACAATGTGAACTTGGAACACAATGTAAACTTTGTTCACAATGTGAATTTGGAGCAGAACTTGAACTTGGAGGAAGATCCAGAAGATAATTTAGTGGAGCAAAATTTGCAGCAGGAACCAGAAGATGAACCAAAAGTAGAACATGAAGATGAGGCGGTGGTCGGAGGTGGTGAAAAGAAGTGGCCTGGATGGCCTGGAGAGAGTGTGTTTCGGATGTTGGTTCCTGCACAGAAGGTAGGTAGTATAATCGGGCGTAAAGGAGAATTCATTAAGAAAATAGTTGAGGAGACCCGAGCTCGTATTAAGATACTTGATGGTCCTCCAGGGACAACAGAGAGAGCCGTAAGTTTGTTAATTACCTTCTCAGATTTAAATATATGCAGCTTTAATTCTGTGAATATATTGTTAGGGCAGAACCTGTTCTACTTATTGATACTAGTTTCTGTGTCTATATTTTCATGATCTTCTAGTATATAGAATGATTCTGCAGCCCAAAGTGGTTTTTATTAACTTAAAACTTAAGCAGGTATTCATTGTATGACCTTTCTTTGCCCTTTTCTGTTTCTTGCATATCTTATGATTCTTATTGGAAACTCTGCTGTTTCTCTTTTTATTTGTTTGTCATTTTAGCATTTATATGCTATTTCATGCTTCTAGTGTAGCAATGTAGTTGTACAATGATGTGGAAATGAGTTTCTCTATATTAAATTGTAAAGCCTGCTCTTTGATTTTAGCCATATTGTCCTAGTTTTAGGAATTGCTTACATAGATGATATATTGGTTTAATATAAACCCTAAACAAGAAAATAATAAAAAATGGTATCAAATACCATCACCAGGTCAAAGTTAAGCTTTAAAATTTTCCTTCCTAGAACAGTTGTAGAAACCAAAGTAAAAGGACATGCCTTAATCCTTAGATATATTTGGGGATGATCACAAGAACCAAGACACAAACATTTAGTTATATAAGAGAACAATAAAGAAATATGAAGAATGCAAAAGCTAAATTAATGGATGGAAGATCAAAAGCAATATCCCTTGATGCACCCCTGTTGTAATTGGAAACTCATATCATTGTCAATCCACCATAAGTTGCTAAGTTCGTAACTACTACCTCACATATATCCCATAATATACTGACATATATGAGAGGGATATCTTTATAAAGGTATATAAGAAAACAATTAATAAAAAGGAAGAACTGAAGTGTTAATATACAAATAACTTAACATACAGACTTATAGTAACATGAAGAAGATGGTAAGAAAAATCATTAGAAGCAATCGATAAAAATATAACTACAGTGCCCTTTTTTGCAATAACAGCAAGTCTGTGCAGGTTCCATTCGCAAAATTTAAGGGAAGGAGTTGACATCAATCAGACTCCAGTTTTGAGGAACCAAAGTCCCAGATTGCAGGGATCAGCATTGAGTGTTTCAAATTTCTGAAGGTTTGATCTGAATTAACAGACAAATCTTGTCTGAACAAGAAGCTCTGCATTCTCTCTGGTAACTTCAGAACCTGGATGATTGGTGCCTTGCCACAGATAATAAAGAAACTCTAAAAGGAACCTGTGGAAATGGCTTTTTGATCCGTGGAAATGAAGCTAAGATTAAAATCTTATTTGGAGCCATCATAAATATGTGCATAATAAGTATGGTCTAAATATATACAAATCCACGTAAAAGTTGTCATAATAACATATTTTAATGCATATGTGATATAGTTCCTAATAAAATTCAAAATCTATAATCCAAATAACTTGCAAAACTTATCAGGTAAAAACAACTGGATTAGTAAGTGTTACCTTACTGCAGATAAGACTAGTAGTTTGCTTAGGTGCTTGGGCATTATATTGAAGAAAAGTAACTCAACTAGGAAAAAAGTTATACCCCTTCTGAAATCGAACAATTCTAATAAAATTTTGTATCATTATTGAGCAAACTCAAGTAATTTATTTTAAACAAAAGGAGGTCAACATTATGTTATATCATATCTGGTCAAATATAGCATTTGTTTTACTTATTCGTTACATAGGCTTCATTTTTGCTGATGGTATGTAAGAATTGGGGTTTGCAATGGTTTGATAATTTCTATTCATGTATTTTATTCTTTCCTATGGGCTATGAATTGTAACACTTGGCTTGTGTCATTGCCGCCGCTGCTTTGTCTTCTGAATAGGTAATGGTATCTGCTAAGGACGAGCCTGATTCCTCTCTTCCGCCTGCTATGGATGGGCTTTTGAGGGTTCATAAGCGCATTGTTGATGGTTTGGAGGGGGACCCATCTCATGCTCCTACGGCTGTGGGAACAAAGGTTTCAACAAGGCTGCTAGTCCCTGCCTCACAAGCTGGAAGTTTGATTGGAAAACAAGGAACAACTGTCAAATCCATTCAAGAATCTTCTAATTGTATTGTCAGAGTTCTTGGAGCAGGTTTTCTTCTTGAGACTCTGTTTCTTACATCTTTTACCAGTTCCTTTTTACATAGTGTTGCTGAAAGAGTAAAGCTTTTAATGATCAATATGCATAAACTATTTCAAATGTTATTTTTAATTTCATTTCATAATGCTCCATATACTTGCATGCATGTGTTTCAAGTTGCGGGTGAGTTATGGTACTGTTCCAAATCAAATTATAATATTGAGAATATGAATTTTTTTGTTTCTATCTAAATTCAGGAATATTTTTTATTTAGTTCCAATGCCTGATAATTTGAAGTTGTTTAGTTTTGGCATCTGTTGTTTGATAATCTCAGATTATCATTTTATTCTAAGGATTTGGTTTTGCATGATAGTTTGACATTTCTCTCCTCTATGTTGAATAAAATGAAATGCTGCAGAAGACCTTCCCGTCTTTTCTCTTCAAGATGATAGGGTTGTCGAAGTTGTTGGAGACCCAGCTGGGGTGCACAAAGCGGTGGAGCTAATTGCAACTCATCTCAGGAAGTTCTTAGTGGACCGCAGTATAATTCCGTTATTTGAAATGCATGTGAGGCCAGAATTTTTTATCAACCGATGGTTAATTGTGCCTCCTCGTATAAAATGTGTTTAATAATCTGTTTTGTGTTTCTACCAGATGCAAAGGTCTAATCATCAGGTGGACCACATGCCACCTCATCAATCTTGGGGTCCATCTCAGGGTGTCCCTCCGAATGCTAGTGGAGGTGCTGGTTATGGACATAATCCTCAGTACATGCCCCCTCCTCGGCAACATGACAATTACTACCCTCCTGCTGATATGCCACCTCATTTGGAAAAACAGCCGCATCAGGGTATTTCTGCCTATGGAAGAGAAGCACCGATGGGTCATGGATCTTCAAATCCCCAGAATGCACCATCAATGATCACTCAGGTAATTTCATACTGCAACTTACGTTGTGGTGTCTATTCTCCATAGTCGGCTACTACTATGGTTCTTTGTTCTAAAAGCAACGAGTTTCGATTCATGCTAAGTTTTTTAGCCCGAGAATGGTTATGGTTCTCGAACAAAGACCATATAGTAAAGTTTTCTGTGTTTTCTCTTTATAGGTCACTCAGCAAATGCAAATTCCACTTTCGTATGCTGATGCTGTTATCGGGACAGCTGGTTCAAGTATTAGCTATATTCGACGTGCTAGTGGGGCAACTGTCACCATTCAAGAAACTCGGGGCGTCCCTGGTGAAATGACGGTCGAAATAAGTGGAACTGCTTCACAAGTTCAAACTGCTCAGCAACTGATACAGGCAATGTTCTTTGACCTGATATCCTTAAAATGATGATTATGGAACCTAATTTCCTTATAGCTCGCTAAGTGGAATAGTTATGTAATCGAGTTTGTTAATCATGAAAGCCTTGTATAAAATGATATCGCAGTCTTTGTATAGAATGTGATGGTCTCAGGTTATAATACTGATTTTACTTGATCATGTTGCAGAATTTCATGGCTGAAGCTGCTGCAGCTGCGGGTCCGGCTCATGCACAAGCAGGTGGGGTTCCAGATCAAGGATATAATCCTTATGCAGGTCATAGTTCTGTGTATGCATCTCCGCCAACCAATTCCGGACATGCAGGAGGCTATGGTTCTGTTTTTGGTTCAAACTATGGGTACTAAGTGGGGCGATTGTTTCAATTTGAATGTTATCTTAAAGATCATAGAAGACTGGTGGTAAGTTAAGCTGAAATTGTTGTTAATGGACTGCTGTAGAAAACTGTTCTCTCTGCTTAATGTCATAAATTAGAACAAGCTAAAACATGTTAGATTTTATGGTGTGCAATGCCTTTTATATTATTTTATCTTCTCTCTAGTTTTTGCTTAATTCTAAGTATTTTGTTTTTAAAAGTTTTTACATCATTGACACGTGCGATATTATCTCGTTTACAGGGATTTCACATGTTTTATGTTTTTAAAATGTGGATTAAGCGTCTTTTGCTCATATAGTAGACCTAATTTATAATTTTCGTCCTTATCGTATTTTTACATCAATTTAGCACTCGAATTTGTTCAATTATATCTTTATGTACTCTATCTTTCACTTAAAATCTTAAATTGAAGGTTTTAAGTTAAAAGTTTAGAGGTTATAAGGTTATGGTTTAAGGTTATTAATTTAGGGTTTTAAATTAATAGTAGGATATAGAATGATTCAATTAAACAATTTTGAGAGTAAAATTAATATAAAAATGACAAATTAAGTCTATTACAAGAACCTTAATCCTTTTAAAATTAGGTGAAGGATAAATTAAATTACTAAGAGGATTTTGAGCTTATTTGTGCATTTTTTTATGTATTTACATATGGTAATTCTATACTGTATTAATGTTATTTTTATAATTTTCCTGTATTATCTTCATGTAGTGTAGTAATATATCTCAGAGTGTGTACTATTTGTTAATTATCAGCATTTTAGAGATATATTGCATATTACATATTTACATGATTCATTTTAACGATCCAATTTAATATATATATATATATATATATATATATATATATATATCGTACTTAAATACATGGTTTCGATTTTGTTTTAAAATATTACAAACTATAAGATGAAATACACAAATAACTTCCGATTTTGGGATCTTTTAGTCTTTTGATTATAAAAACAATATAAGATCATTATTTGATTTTAAAATATAAATTCATTTTAGTCTTCGACTTTCATGCATTTGATTTTAATTTTAAGAATCAATTAAACATTTTAAAATCACATTAATGTAATTTTCTTCTCCGAGTATTTTTATCATTATTTTTGCTATCCCAGTCTATTGTCGTTAGACAGCTTTAATATGGAAGCTTATCAACATAACCAGCCTCTACCAACGCCCATTGAATATCTCTACCATTACCCATCGGCATTCACACAACCACTAACTTTCCGACTATAAAACACAAGCATTATAAATTAAAGGCTTAATATTAGAAAAAGTACTCAAATATTTTTCTTCTATTTAGGTATTTTTTTTATCAGTGTAAGTTATTAATATTTTTTGGCGTTAACATTTGGTCGTTGGAAACGTCACTCACTCAAAATGTGGCACATGGTGTTTTCATATTTTTTAAAAATTTATTTTTTAAAAAAACTTAAAGTTATTATTATTGTTTTAAAAAAATCCCAAAATTCTTAATCCTAAAGCATCAACCTCACTCATTGGTTGTCCCTCGTCGACTACCTTTCCACCAGTCATCATTTGTCACTCGTAGCCTCAAACATTAGGCTCCCTAAATTCAAATTATAAATTCTTAAATCCCAAGGCATACATCTACTCTCGATCGACGGGTGAGTGGTCGACGATTGGGTAGGTGATCACTGATGGTGGTAGTGGTCTACAACGAAATTGAAGGGATATTTTTAGAGTTTTATGAATTTTAGGGTATTTTTTGAAAATAAAAATAAAAAAATTTGAGGGTTTTTTTAATAAAAAATTATGAATTTTATTTTTATTTTTTTGGTAAACTACATTATAGATCATTTTCATTTAAGTTTTGTACACTTTTCCTCACTGAATTCAGAAAACATAATATGTTATCACTTTCATTTTTACTTAATTAAGATTTGGTCACTTTCATTTTTACTTAATTAAGATTTGGTCACTTTCATTTTTATTTAATTAAGATGTGGTCACCGAAGGTTACTTGTCATTAGACCTTTAACAGACTACTGACATGAAAATGAATTTATAAAATTAAAAGGGGTAAACTATACAAATAGCCACTAATGTTTGAGTAATGTTTCGTTTTCCCCATTAAAGTTTTCGTTGTATAGTCCTTATATAATCTTATGTGGCTAGTTTTCTTGTGTTTAGGAAAAATATTTTATTATATGTTTAGTTTGCGATTATGGTTGTAAACACTTATTGTAATTTGAATATCTTTCATGTTTAGTTTATGGATTACGGTTGTTGCTTGCTTTCTGTAGTTTTCAATTTGTCTATTAATAGTAAAAGATGTTTCATTGCTGAACAAAGAAAAAACTTTGGACTGTCCTCCGGAGACCATGAAACTTTGGTGAGGACAAAAAATAGGTAAATTACACGATTAGCCCTTTTCATTTTCATTTTACACACTTCTTCTCACTAAATTCAAAAAACATAACATTCAATCATTTTCGTTTTTATTTTATTAAGATGTGATCATATTCATTTTTATTTTATTAAGATGTGGTCACTTACCTCATCGACTTTTAAATGTTTAATCACTGAAATTTTGACTGCATTTAGTAATGAAATTAAATAAAAAGTGACAATGTCTTAATTAAATAAAAATGATCAAATATTATGTTTTTTTAATTTAATGAAAAAAATGTATAAAACTAAAACAAAAGTGATTAATATATTATAATTTACCCCAAAAAATCTTGTTGTTGAAGGATGTGAGAGGTTTTTTTCGAAAATCAAGAATTTCATATATAGATGTATGCAAGTTCATCATTATTTAAATTTGTTTATTTGTGTTCAATTTATTGCATCGAGTTTGCGACCAATTAAAGAAACGAGATCGGGTATTATAGAGGTAAAAGTGACATTCCCAATTCAATTTATTCCATTAGCAAACGTCAGGGTCTGAACCCTTGATCTTACTTAAGAAATCTAATGTCTCATTCTACTAGATCAACTTGCGGTTGGTAAAAGCAAACTATTTTAATATCAATAAATATATTTTAATAAATAAAATCTAATAAAAAATATTAATAAATTTAATGGTTGAATTAAAAATTTAAATAAAAAATCAATATCAAATTTATAAATAAAAATTTAAATTTTAAACTAAAAAAAAAAGAATGATGATATATAAGAATGTGAATGGGACGAGTTTCGTGAGAAATCGTCAACCTTTACACTCAATTGAATGAGTATAAGTACAAGTTTCACGAGCAATAGTGTGGATGACAAGGCAGGCAAGAGTATAAAAAGTTATCTGATTTCACACATCATTAAACTAAGCATCCATAAATAATACAACACATTATACTGCACATAGACCACACATGCCACAATAGATAAGGTCAATCAAGTTAGCTTCACTACACAAATATTATCTCACAAATAATTGAGGATACTTCCTCTCACATCACTTTATGATATATTCTCTCTCTTAGAATATCATTTAATGAGATACTAGTCATTTTTATAATTTATGACATATGAATATTAAGCATTGTCACTTTTCATACAATTTATTATTAGACTAAAGGGGGGACTTACACATTATTGATTCATTTTTTTACTAGTGTGTTTAAGGGCATTTTCATAATTTTACCCACTTGAAGTTATTTTAATAATTTACCATTCTTGATGTTATTTTATTCACATTAATATCTTTAAATCTCCTTTTAGGCTTAATCAATCATCACGAACCATCCTCAATCTACATGTTTATTCTATAAGTCAAACTTTGACTTTTAAGATAGAGTGTATAGATAATAGGTAAAAGATATCGATAGTCATTTGTAGTATCGATATTCAACCCTAAGGTATCGATAGTCATTTGGCAGGTGATAATAGAGGAAGACATTGTTCTTCACGTTACTGCCAAATACAATCTAAAGGGAGCGACGGCAGAGATCATTAGGATTCCTTCATTGATGTCGCTGGTGAATCAAAAGAACTCGAACGGTGACACTCCACTGCATGTTGTAGCAAGGACAGGGAGTTTCGAAACAGCTGAAATATTCGTAAACTGTGCATACAGTGGGGAAATCGAAGCAGGCCAAAGGGTTGTAAAGATGGTGAACATGGTGAATGATACTGCACTTCATGATGCTGCAAGAAATGGGCATTTCGGATTGCGGAGTTGCTGATTAGAGAAGACCCTTAATTACCTACGTTGATAAATGATGCTGGGGAGCCCCCACTCTTCATTGCTGTGGATAAAAAACATCTTGATATTGCTGGACTTATCTTGCAAGTTGCTCCAGTTCTCATTTGAGGGGAGAAATAACATGAATGCTTTACATGCAGCTGTTATTCGATCACAGGATGAAGGCAATTCCTATATTATCTGCTCATTAATAATTTCCAAACCTAAGTTAAGATGAAACCATCTTCCCTCTCACATAACTGTACATTTAAAATCGAGTTTAAGTGAGTGGTCTCAGTGTTGGGGGGAATGTTGTTTTCTCTAAAAGCCTCGGATTCAAGCAGTTACGTCATTTGTAGGGTAGGGCATACGTTAAAAAAGTCACATGCACATGACCGATAGTTGTATTCATCTTTTTATCTGCTTCCAATCAACAGACTGTAAACCAAACTAAGGAGGATAACTAAGCTTGTCAATTCTTATTTGATTTTAAAGTTTGATTAAATTCATTTGCGTTAATTATAGAAATATTCGTAAACCAAAACCATCTAATTATTATTCAAATGTAATTCAACAGTAAATTATTCAGATTGATTTTTTTTTTTAATTTTACTATTGCAGTTCTGAGTTTATCTTCTTATATGGTGAAGCTTCTGAGTCCAATGACGTACCTTACCAATATGTCATTTAAGCACTCTTTCATGTTCTTCTCCTTTGGACCTTCCGCCATCATTCAAGCTGCCTTGCAGAACAATATTTACAGAGGTAAGTTCATCTCAAACCTCACTTCACCTCTTTAATTTTTAATACCTAAACTATTATTTTTGTTTTGTTTTGAGTCCTAAACTTTATATTTCAAAAATTTTCCAAATGTTTAGTTTAAATTTTGTTTTGGAACGCCGCCGTTAAACAATTAATGGTGATATTGATATGACACCAAAAGGTAATACCACATCATCATTGGAAAA